GGGTGAAAAGTCATAAGAAACAGGCTATTTTTAGAGTCTCAAGGTATACTCCTTATAAGGATATGTTGTTAATTACAAAGAGAAAAACAGTAACTTTGCAGGGAAGAAATTTGGCAGAAACCACCTTAAGTGATCAAGGTTAATATCACCAGGAATAGGATAAAGTGGCATTATGTGTCTCCTGATGTAATGAAATGAGAAAGACACAACATTATTTCAGCCAAAAAACCAGACACGCATGTTGGGAGAAATTCTATTATATACCCAACCCTGAACTCTTCTAAAATTTTAAAGGTCATAAAAGACAAAGAATGAGGAAATGTTCCAAATTAAAGGACTCTCAAGAAACATGACAAATAAATTAACAAATAATTAAATAAATTATTTTCACAACTGGCAAAAATTTTAAAAGGTCTATGGATTAGATAATAGTATTGTGTGAATGTTAATTTCCTGATTTTGATAACGGTATTTAGGTAAGAATGTCCTTTTTCCTAGAAAATATACAGTGAGTATTTAAAAGGGACACCATGCTTGCAACTTATTCTCCAATGACTCAGAGGAAAAAACAACAACACACACACACACTCACACTCACACACACATATAAACAGAAGATAAAGTAAATGTGGCATGATGTTAATAATTGGGGAATCTGAAGGATATAAGGGAATTCTTTGAACTATTCTTGCAACTTAAAGTATTTCAATAAAAAGTTACTAAAATACTATCAACTTTAAAATATAAGTATTTATCTTTATAATGTCAAAGTAATACAGGATTTCTTAAACATGACACAAAAACACGAATATAAAGGAAATGGCAAATAAATTTGACTACATAAAAATACCATGGAGAGAATGAACCAATAAGCCAAAACTGAGAGAAATTATTTGCAACACATAATACCAGCAAAGGACTAGTGTCTAGGATATATAAAGAATTCCCACAAATAAACAAGAAAAGAAACCAAACACAAAAACAAGCAAAAGAATTAACAGAAAATTCATAAAGGAGAATGGCCAATAAATAAAGTAAGTTCAACCTCATTGGTAATCAAGAAAATTTCACAGCAGCACTGTTCATAATAGCCTCAAACTAAAACAACCCAAATGTCTATCAACAGTAGAATAGATAAATGAACTGTGGTATATTCATACAATGGGAATCTACACACTTGACAGTATTGACAATGAATAAGCGATAGCCACATATGTGAACATGGATGAATCAAAAGAAAACAAACAGTATGATTCCATTTAGATAAAGTTCTAAATATAGGAGAAAAGAATTTTTTAAATTAGCACTTAGGGCTGCATAATGAGTAGTAAAAAAACCAAACCAAACCACAGGGGAAAAGCAGAAAAGCAAAAGCATGACTATCATCAAAAATTTGAGACTACAGATATCTTGGAGGAGGGAGAGTGGGAACACAATAAATGAGAAGGGTAAAAATAGTGCTTCTTCAGTATGTGTAAACATTTTATTTCTTAATCTGGATAGTAATTACATGGGTATTTAAAACTGTATTCACAGGTTTCACAAGCTTTTCTATAGGTATAATATATTTCTCTAAAAAGAGGGACAGAATGCTCACAACTTAGCCCTAAGACCTTTAAACGGTAATCTTTAAAAGAAAGAAAAGAAAGAACAGCCAGTGAGGTAAGGAAAAAAGTCATGGAAGTGTGGTGTTTCTGAAGCCAAGAGAAAAAAAAGAGGGAATAGCGAACTGTTCAAATATTTGTGAGAGGCGGAGTAAACTTTCACACAACACATAAAAAAGTACTGTTCTCTGTTTGATGAATTATTTATCTTATACTGTAGACACTACTCTGCAACGACAAAGGATTTATTAATACAATAAAAAAAGGATGGTAACATTCTGATTATTTTATATTCAGAAACCAAAATTTTAAATTGTATTTTAAAAATGTCCTCCTCCCACAATGCAGAACATTAATTATACCAACAGTATGTATTCAATTACTGAAATACGTGCAGTTTTGCATTTGATAGCCAAGTTTTGGCAAACTTGAGTGATAGCCCCAATTTCTATCATTTGTTATTAAAATGGTAATTACAAAGACCTTTGGCTCTCCCAAATTGTACATATGAGTAGGGGCTGATAACAAATACAGTCATCCCTCAGTATCCACAAGGGATTGGTTCCAGCACACTCCCCAACCCCCCATCCTGTAGACACCAAAATCCAAGTATGCTCAAGTCCCTTATATAAAATTGTATGGTATTTGCATATAATCTCTGCACATACTCCTGCATACTGTGAATCATCTCTAGATTGCTTATAATACCTAGTATGTTGTAAATGCTATGTAAATAGGTGTAAATACACTGTAATGCTATGTAAAATAGTTGCTGGTACAAGGTAAATTCAAGTTTTGCTTTTTGGAACATTATGGAATGTTTTTCCCTCAAATATTTTTGATCTGCAGTTGGTTGAACCCACAGATTCCAAACCTGTAGATATGGAAGCCCAACTGTATAAAACACAAAAATTTGGTCAGACTGAAACAGAAACTTTAACAGTTTAGGAACATGAACTGAACAATGCACTTAACATTTTCAGTTATAAATAACAAAAAGCTTTTACACTAAATTTACCATCTGTTTTCTAGAAAATTTTGGACAACAATTTGGCTAAGGATTCTTTTTTCTCACCTATAAAATGAAGATAAACTAAATATCAGTTGAAGTCTCAACTAATATTTTATGGTGTCATCTGGGGAAGACAAATCAATCACAAAGGGTAATAAAATTAAAATACTTTAACTAAATAATAAACCACACTTTGAGAGTTGCAAAACCAAAAAGTATATTAACCTAATGATATATCCAAGTAGGCTCTCCACTTTACAAAAAGGTTTATTTTAAAAGTTTAAATTATTGAGAACTAATTTTAAATAAAAGAAGGAAGCTCTCCAAAGCAACATTTGCATGAGTAATGCAGAAGACTACTTTTATTAGTGCAAAAATGCAACTTCACACAAACTTAGGGTTAAGATGAAAAGTTCTGATGTTTAAAAAACAAAAACTAAAAATTGTAAATCCTCTTCTTTGAATAAAGGAAAAACATACTACTAATTTAGGTCCTTGTTTGAAAGTATCACTACTTAAAAAAGGAAAAATATTTCTCTCAAGACCACTTACACCAGTATTTTGCTGGTTATATTGGGCTGGCCAAAAGGTTCACTTGGTTTTTTCTGTAAGATGCCTTTAGTAGCACTTAGTTGTCTTTAACTTCATTTGAAACAGTTTTGTTACATTGTATTGTGACAGCTATCAGATCAGCAGTGCATTTAAAAAAAAACTTATCAAAATTGGTGAATTTCTGTGTAGCCATTTTAATATTGAAGATGGAAGAAAAAAAGCACCATTTTCAGCATATTATACTTTATTATTTCAAGAAAGGTAAAAACGCAACTGAAACACACAAAAAGATTTGTGTAGTGTATGGAGAAGGTGTTGTGACTGATCGAACATGTCAAAAGTGGTTTGCAAAGTTTCGTGCTGGAGATTTCTTGCTGGACGATGCTCCACAGTTGGGTAGACCAGTTGAGTTGATAGCAATCAAATTGAGACATTAATTGAGAATAATCAATGTTATACCATGTGGGAGATAGCCAACATACTCAAAATATCCGAATCAAGCCCTGAAAATCATTTGTACCAGCTTGGTTACGTTCATCGCTTTGATGTTAGGGTTCCACATAAGTGAAAAAAACCTTCTTGACCGTATTTCCGCATGTGATTCTCCACTTAAAAGTAATGAAAACGTTTTGTTTTCAAAACAAATTAAGACAGACGATGAAAAGTGGATATTGTACGATAATGTGAAACGGAAGAGATTGTGGGTCAAGCGAAATGAACCACCACCAACCACACCAAAGGCTAGTCTTCATCCAAAAAAGGGGATGTTGTGTATATGGTGGGATTGGAAGGGGAAGTCCTCTATTTTAATTAGCTCCTTCTGGAAAACCAAATCATTAATTCCAACAAGTACTGCTCCCAATTAGACCAACTGAAAGCAGCACTCGACAAAAAGCGTCCAGAATTAGTCAACAGAAAATGCGTAATCCTCTATCAGGATAACATAAGACCACATGTTTCTTTGATGACTAGACAAAAACTGTTACAGCTTGGCTGGGAAGTTCTGATTCACCTGCTGTATTCACCAGACATTGCAACTTCGGATTTTCATTTATTTCAGTCTTTACAAAATTCTCTTAATGGAAAAAAATTTCCATTTCCCGGAAGACTGTAAAAGGCACCTGGAACAGTTCTTTGCTCAAAAAGATAAAAAGTTTTGAGAAGATGGAATTATGAAGTTGCCTGAACAATGGCAGAAGGTAGTGGAACAAAAGGGTGAATATGTTGTTCAATAAAGTTCTTGGTGGGGCTTCCCTGGTGGCGCAGTGGTTGAGAGTCTGCCTGCCGATGCAGGGGACACGGGCTCGTGCCCCAGTCTGGGAAGATCCCACATGCCGCGGAGCGGCTGGGCCCGTGAGCCATGGCCGCTGAGCCTGCGTGTCCAGAGCCTGTGCTCTGCAATGGGAGAGGTCACAACAGTGAGAGGCCCATGTACCGCAAAAAAAGTTCTTGGTGAAAATGAAAAATGTGACTTTTATTTGTACTTAGAAACCAAAGGAACTTTTTGGCCAACCCTATAAATCAACTTATTTAAACCAGTGGTAATATATAAGATTATTAATTTCAAGCAAATGGTTGCATGGTTTATAAAGAACAAGTAATATTACTGTTAGAAAATAAATTCAATTTCAGGTATCCACTTGTTTTTGCCAATTAATAGAATCTACTGATATTAAGATTCAATTAATGAACACATTTTTGTTCCATGATTCTCACTTTTCTTTAGAAAACCTGAGAGAATCCAAGAAGAAACCACCTGACATACATGGATTAATAAATGAAACTTTTAACTTCAGAAAGCTTGTTCTGTGACCCAAAAGAGAACTACTCACCAAAAGCCATAGGGGGTTCAAGGGATGGCTGGCCATCACCAGTAGGAAGGTCTAAGCGAGTGAAGTCTCTGCTTTTGTCGTTATTATATTTCACATTAAGGCTGGTAAGCTTGGAGACGTCAATACGCAGAGTGCAGCATGCATTATAGATATTCTGGCCATCCAGAGCCTAAATAAAGCATGTAAGAAAGGGACTGATGTTTTACAAGATAATAACAATAATAAATCAAGTAGCCTCTACTTTGACAGAGTGGCAATCAGGCATAAAGCAAAGAGGACTAAACTAAAAGCCAAAGACCTGTGTTTACTTTTAACTCTGTCACTGTGTGAGCCTAAGAGAGAAAATGAAAATCTCTATTTCTCAGTTTTTTCATCTGTAAAGTAAGGATAATAATCCCTATCTTGTCTATGATAAGAGCAAATGGAAGAGGAGAAATGTATAAGCTTAGAAAACTATTATACATTATTGTACATTGTACTAATTATTATTATGATTATTTTTTAAATGTTTAAAGATATTTAAATTTTACATTTCATCTTAATTCATTTTAGTGTACTTTATATAGGTTAAGATGAAATAAAGCCTTTGTAAATGGTACCTGTCAGAACCACAATATGTGAAATATTATCTACCACTTACTGTTTTTCTTAAGTTTATTTTCTTTGAGTAATGAACTTGAGGGAAGTTTTGAGTCAGATCAGATACAAGACCAAAAATCAGCAATCCCTCCTTTGAAAATAATAAAGACTTACCAAAGGGATATTTATAGCTACTTATGACTTCCACAAACACTTCAATTTATAAAAAGATACCAGAAACCAAAACATAAAAATATCAATAAAACAAAAAACATACAAATATACAAAAACCCCTGACTTATCATGATATTGACCAGTATGCCACCATAAAGGTACAAAATAATATATGCGGGTAGAGGGTACAGCAAATATAAATGTTATTCCTAATCAAGAACCAGACACTTTGTGATACACAAAAGTACTATAAACCTTAGCCCCTACCTTTGGAAAAAAATTAGAAATAAATCAGATACCAATACAAGACAGAATTAGAGTTAGGGATAGATCTCAACAGGAAATGGGTCAAACATAACCAAACTGAATGTGAAGTTTTACATCCTGTCAAAAGTCAAGCACTCATGTACTAACAAGAAGACAATATGAATTGAAGGCAGCATATTTCCTAAGATTTAATGTCTTTAGCAATTTACAGCTCAATGAAATTCAACAGTGAATATGGTTGCAAAAATATTGAAATCAATCAATCTTTGGCTCACTTAATATAAGTAAATGAGGCACTAGGGTAAAGATAATCCTACTTTATTAGTCAGATTATATCAGAAGTACTGTGCTCAACTCTAGACTTTAAATAGGACAAACAGAAATGAGTCCCAAAAATCTGAGAAATGATAGGTGATTTGAAACCATTTCATATGAAGAAATAAGTAATTTTTAGACTATAAGAAGAGCATATGGAACAGTACTATTAAAAATGGTAAGTTTCAGTATGTATGTTTTATTACAATTTTCAAAAAAAAAAAACACATGGTAAACTACAGCAAAGGAGAAGACATGATGGCTTTCTCTGGTATCACTGAAGTGACTGATTAACAATTGAAAAATGAAAAAAAGATCATAATTACCATTTTGGCATAATGTGCATTCAATGGGTCAGCATACTGAAGCAAGGCTTGAAACTGATTATTCTTTGTAAAGGTGATAATCTTTAAGACTGTGCCAAATTTAGAAAATATCTGGAAAAAAGTTCACATTAGGTTAAATTTAAGGAAAAAACTTGCTAACATATCTTTATAAATACAACTTGATTCATGAATCCCAGGTTTTTGTTTTGTTTTGTTTTGTTTTTTTGCAGTACACGGGCCTCTCACTGTTGTGGCCTCTCCCGTTGTGGAGCACAGGCTCTGGATGCGCAGGCTCAGCGACCATGGCTCATGGGCCCAGCCGCTCCGCGGCATGTGGGATCTTCCCAGACCGGGGCACCAACCCGTGTCCCCTGCATCGGCGGGCGGACTCTCAACCACTGCGCCACCAGGGAAGCCCCTGAATCCCAGTTTTAAATGAAAATAATTTCCTCTATTTAAACTATTGGTACCAAAATTACTTCAATCAAGCCTAAGATGTTCATGTTTCAACACTCATGCATGGCTTAAAACAGTGCCTGACACATAACAGGCACTAAATATTTAACCTATTTTATAGCATGTCATAAATGGCACAATACTGAATCAGGAGGTTACAACAGGAATTAATTAATGCTGTGAGATGTTGGTGCTACAAAGCATATACCTGGAAGTGGAAGAGTCATACAGATCAACTATTTCAGCCTGAGAATCAGCATCTACTTGAAATTTTTATAGACAGGAAAACTACAAAATATTCAACAAAATGAACAACAGAATGTTCAATGCTCTATTAATTCATCAAATACTCATAGAGCACTGTTCTAAGCTCTAGAAAGTCAGCAGTGAACAAAACAGTAACAAGAGTCTAAATATGGGCATGTTAATAATAGGGGAAACTGTGTATGTCTGTGGCGGTAAGGAGGTATATATATTCTGCTCAAGATTTTTGTGAACTAAAAATGCTCTAAAGAATTCTAGTAAAAAACAAAATGTGAAACAGGAAAAAAAAAAACCTGAAAAAGGCAGAAAGAGAAGGGGGAAGAAACAACAAGCAAGTAGGAAACAGTTACCAACCTAGTAGATATAAGTCCAACTATATAAAAAATCACTTTAAATGTGAATGTTCTAAATATGCTAATTAAAATACATACTTGTCAGAGTGGGCTTTTTAAAAAGCACAAACAAAACCCACCTCCAGGTTATTCATAAGAAACCCACTTTAAATATAAAGACTCAAGCTAAAGGGAGAGAAAGATACACCATGCTAACACTAATGTTTAAGAAAAGCTGGTACAGCTATATTAATTTTAGACAAAGCTGACTTTTGAACAAAAATTATCAGGGATAAAGAGGGAGGGTATATAATAATAGGGGTCATTTATCCAAGAAGACATAACAACCCTTAATATGTATGTGCTTAATGAAAAAGAATAAAAATACTTGAGAAAAAAAGCTGCTGGACTATAAAAACACTATTGTAGCTAGAGACTTTTAACACTGCTCTGTCACTAATTGACAGATCCAGAAGTCAGAAAATCAGTAAGGATATAGCTGAACTGAATAGCATCATCAGTCAACTGGATCTAACTGACATTTATAGAACAGTGCACCCAATAATAGAATACACATTCTGAATTTTGCATGAAACGTTGACCAAGATAGACATATTCTGAGCCATAAAACACACTTTAACAAATTTAAAATAATAGAAATCATACAGTGTATATTCTCAAACAATTATAGATTTAAACTAAAAATCAATAACAGAAAAAACATACCTGGAAAATCCTCAAAGAAAGAAAAAAAAGAAAGAAACAAGTCTCTGCTCTCATAAGGAAAGACAGATGATAAACAAATAAGCCAATAAATAACAATGGTCATAAAAAAGTGTTTTGTTTTAAAAATAAAAGGGAAAGGGATGAGAGTGAACTGGAATGCAGGTTGGAAGGTGCAAGGGTGCTCAAGGAAGGTGTCTCTAAAGAGTCTTTAGAGAAGCGGAATAAACAGAGTTGGGGGAAGGTTTCCTGACAGACCCCTGGTTACCAATGCTCTTACAACACTTGTTATACTTCCCCACCACAAGTTCAGGGCCAGGGTTACTACAATGCATTTTGCTTTCCTCTGACATCCCATTTTAAATCTGGATTTTAATAAGCCAGAAACTTGCCCTTCTGCTTCTAAGGATAAAACATAAGTATTCCCTATGCTGCTAAGAATTTGCTGTTATCAAATACTATGTATGTGTCTCCTTAATAGGCAAATGGTCCTGCTTTTTAATTATCAGAAAGAATGATCAAGAATAACTATCCTAGGGATTTCCCTGGTGGTCCAGTGGTAAAGAATCCGCCCGCCAATGCAGGGGACATGAGTTCGAGCCCCGCTCTGGGAAGATCCCACATGTTGAGGAGCAACTAAGCCCGTGTGCCACAACTACTGAGCTTACACTCTAGAGCCCACAAGCCACAACTACTGAGCCCGTGAGCCACAACTACTGAAGCCTGTGCACCTAGAGCCCATGCTTTGCAACGAGAAGCTGGTGCACCGCAACAAAGAGTAGCCCCTGCTCGTCGCAAACAGAGAACGCCCGTGCGCAGCAACAAAGACCCAACACAGCCAAAAATAAATAAATGTATTAAAAAAAAAAAAAAAAAA